GGAAAGAAGAAACAAACATATCTGTTCATATGTAAATTCATTTTATAATAGACCTTACTGGCACATGCCCTACACTAAGGATCAGCAAACTACAGTCCAGAGACCCAATCCAGCCTTCTGCGTGTTTTTATAAATACACTTGTATTGAAAACAGTCATGCCTGTTGCCTTTCGTATTGTATTTCAGCCTGTTTTCACGCTAAAGCAGCAGGGTTGAGTAGTTAGGCTGTACAGCCTATAATCTGGCCCTTTGTAGAAAATGGTTGCCCATCTATCTCCTTGGCCCGGCCCGGAGGTCACCTGTGGCCAGTCTGCATACATGCCCACGCCGAGGCTGCTCTCTCCGCTGGGCGCGTCCTGACGGCACAGATGCACCAGACCTAATGCGCGACAGACAGCAGCGTCGGGGAATCCACACCCCGGGGCTGGAGCCACCCTTACCTGAGAAGGATGGGAGCTGGTACATAGATAGCCCAGCTTCCTGGCCTCTGTTGCGACAATGGGAAGATTTTCTACCTGGTCTCTTCTGGGGTCCCCAGTGGGTTGGAGCCCCAGGTGCCCATGGCAGTGGCTGGCCAATTAATGCAATCTGTGTTGATGCCTCGCTTCCCTGCCTCACGCCCTCTCCCACCCCGTCAGAAGACAGGAATCCCACCAGGGATGGTAACAGGGAAGAGTGATAGAAGTACCACAAAGTGAGTAAAAAGGATTCCCTGCTCAATTAGAAAGGCAAAAGAGGGGGAATCCCTGGGTGGCTCAGCGGTTTGGCGCCTGCCTTGGGCCCAGGGTGTGACCCTGGAGACCCGGGATCGAGTCCCACATCAGGCTCCTTGCATGGAGCCTGCTTCTCCCTCTGCCTGTATCTCTGCCTCTCTCTCTGTGTGTGTGTCTCTCATGAATAAATCAATAAAATCTTTTAAAAAGGAAGGAAGGAAGGAAGGAAGGAAGGAAGGAAGGAAGGAAGGAAGGAAGGAAGGAAGGAAGGAAGAAGAAAGAAAGAGAAAGAAAGAAAGAAAGAAAGAAAGAAAGAAAGAAAGAAAGAAAGAAAGAAAAGAAAGGCAGGCAAAAGAGAACACTAGAGAACACGGACCAAGGAGTCTACTACACGTGCAAGTCAGGGGCTCACTAGGAAAGGGAAGGTAGCTCTCCAGGACCATGGTGGGGTCCCTGGGAGGGCCACCACCCACCTGACTCCCTCGCATGCCCAGAGCTGGTGTGTGAGTGCAGGTGGAAGACCCAGACCTCTCAAGAGGGCTGCCAACCACTTGGTGCAGGCATTTCTGAGGAGACTAGGATGAGGCTGGTTCTGCGAATTTTGGAAAAGTTGAGAACTGGATACGGCAGCTGCCGTGGAAAGGAACTGCTGCTTCCGGCGTGAAGCAGCACTGCTGGGGTGATGAGGATGAACAAGAAGGAACAGGCCGCTTCCACCTCCTCCAGCCTTTCCCTCTTCTGCCACCAGGGAGATGCCAGCAAAGCAGAGACAAGGTTGTGGGGTCCATCCCTGGCACCATAATGGTCACTAAAAGAGGCAGGTGCTCCCTAAGAGCACTGTGTTCCTGTGATCACAGCTCTAACAGAACACCTGCGCCCAGAACCCTGCATAGGGCCTGCTTTCTGTTGATACTGAACCTCAATTCTTAGCAGCAGTCTTTGAGAGCTCTGGGGTTGCAAGCAACAGAAACCCACTCTAACTAATGGAAACAAATAAGTGGCAAGTCCAAAGCATGTGGAGTAGCTCTCAGAACTCAAGGAAAGTCTGAAGCAGCAGCCTAAATAGCCTAGAAAAGGGATAGAGATAGGAGCAACCCTAAGGAGAGGGAGACAGAGAGGGAATGAGTGGTGAGCTCCCCCACCATCAGAACTCCCCCACCACCGGCCAGCTCCAGAATTTCCTGCCTCAGTCTTATTTGGCTCAGATTACCACTTCCAAGGGTCTGATTTGTCTTGGCAGTCTGATCAAGGCTCTATGTAAAGGAGGAGAAGCTTCTCAACACAAAGTCGGGGCTGCCACCTGAGGAGTGGGGGTTGTTGCTGGGTACATGCCAGCCAGCTGCCTTAAGTTGGGTCCTCCCAGAAGTTGAGTCTGAAACAAGGTCAAGTCATTTATTAGAAAGGAGCATCTGTATATAGGGAACAGAAAAGACAGAGATGGAAGGAGACTGATTCAGGGCATATGAGTAAATGGGTTTCTTTGTGGATATCCGGGGCTCAGACCCACTGGGGAGAGTGTGGAACAGCCCAGAGTTATCCCAATGGAGGGGAGACAGAGCAGGGGTATTTATGCACCAGGTTCTGTCCATCCTGATTATGGGCTGCTCCCGGGAGCACAAACGCCACAGTGCTCCCCAGCTGCCACGTGTGTAGACTGAGCACTCCTATGACCACAGGAGCCCCTGGGGCAGAGTCACATGTGCTTGGCGTGAGAAGCCTAGGGAAGTAGGCATAACCCAGAACAGGAAGGGTCAGGGGATCTGGACATCAGCACCCAGGATGGCTCAGACAACAGCAGTTACCAGTCACCGACTCAAATGCTTGGTAAATGGGAGGGGTGGGCAGCTGGGATTCAGCTTCTTTATGGGGGACGCAGTTGTAGGAGACTCTCAATCCTGGCCTTGAGGCTGAGTCAGGATAGAGGAGGCTGGGACTCTCTGGTGCAACAGTTAGGACCAGAGTAACAGTGGACCAGCACCTGCAGCACTAGCACTTAGGTACCTCAGGGCTTGTCAAAGCTCTGGTGTTCTCTTGTCATCAATGCTACAGGGAGGTCTGCTCTGAGCTCCCATGTTTACTGGCAAGAAACACTTTTTATAAAATTAAAGTGATTATTTCCAGAGACCTCAGAGAGAGAGGAAAGCTAAAAAATGAACCCATTCTGCAGCTCCCTGGGAAAAACAGATCCACACAGAGAAAGTGGAGAGAAGCAGGTAAAAAAAGAGCAAGTGAGGTTTTGGAGGGCTGGGGACAACCATCCCAACTAGACCCCAAAGTGTCCATTACAGGGAGCCCCACATTTCACACAGTCAGTCCAACTTGAGGTTGAGGTGAGGCTGCCAGGAAATAGTGTTTTCTTGGTTCCTGCCTCCTTGACTTCACCTCCTCCATTGTCCCTCTACACTCCTTTATTTCTCCTCCTTGAACAAGCGAAATCCATTCCTGCCCCCAGGACCTTTGCACTTACAGTTCCTCTGCCTGAAATGCTCTTCGCTCAGCTCTGCGCATGACTGGCCCACCTTGTCTTTCAGATCACATGTCACCTCATTCATGGGGTTTTTTGCTTGACCATCCAATCCAAAGTAGACCCCTGGTGATTCTGACACACCACCCTGTTGCTTCCCTTCCAAGTATCAAATCTCCAATTTTCTCTTACTTAGTTATCTGCTCACTCGTACATTTCCTTCCTCCTCCTGCCAAAATGTCATGACTGTGAGAGCAGAACCACAACCAATTTTTTTTCTCTGCTGTCTCCCCAGTGCCCAGAACCATGCATGGCACAGAAGAGACCCCCAATACATTTTTGATGTTAGATTAGATATAAAAATAAACTTTCTTTCCAAAAAGATGCCCCTGTCTTTTAAAATACGAACTGAACATACAGTCCACACAATAAAAAAAAAAAAAAAACTCAATGGGGAATAGATAAGTCTTCAGTGGTTGTGAGGTTGAATATAATATACACCCTGATCCAAATTCCTAGTACATGCTGGGCTCTGGCTAATGGTTTCCATCATTCTCTCTTAAGCTTTTAAAATATAAATATTTCAAAAGTGTGCAGTGGAGTGGGTCCTCCATCTTTTAGAAAGAACAACAAAAGCATATTTCTCTCTTAAAGTCAAAATCTCAAGTGAAGTCAGAACAATATTTTTTAACACTCTAAATAGATAGGAAAGGTGACTATTTAGTATTCTATTATTCATAACAAAGAAATAGAATGTAATTTACAACTCCATCAATTTTCTCTAATAATGTGTCGCTGTCTTGCCAGATACTTTTGTTTAGGCAGATGCAATAATCCATTTAAGCACATTTACTCAGTGTCATTAAGAGCATCTACAGAGAAGGAGCAGTTTCTCAACTGGTATAAGTAAAAAAGTTGGAGGACTATTAGCAGAAAAACAGAAGCCTAGAGGCAACACAGGAGTTTTTGTAGAGATTGTAGTTTGAAGTAATCTGCGTCCTAGGATGTGACATAATAAGTACCTGTATGTGTGCATGTGTGTGCGAGAGAGCGTGCAAACACATGTATATTATGATCTACTATATTAAGGTAATTGAGATCAGTGATAAGCCTAAGAAATCTCCCCTTATCAGCACAGCACGCTGTCTGGCACATAGGATATGCTCAATAAATGCTGGCTGGACTAATCAATTAAATAACTCCTCTATTAGGAACCACGCAGTGACATTTGATTTTGCTTTTTGAAACCTGACCAAGGATTTGGCAATTTCTGAGTGATACCATTTTCAGTAACTCAGACAAAAGGACGCTGGGGACATATGCTGTGGCAGATGGCACTGGCGGCCCCACTTAGATCCTCACGACCCTTTACCATTGCCAAGTATCTCCATGCCTAAGGTCCAAACACCTGCACCTGTACTTCTGCGCCGCAGGTTTTCTTCACCCCCAAAATTAGCACCCTGGGCACAGTCCTCCCCACTGGCTGACACGAGTTGGTAGATGGACACCCCAGCTCCCTCACCAACTCTGAGGCCCGTGTTCTACTCTGTCTCCCAGGATCCCTTGGGGTGACTGAGCTGCAAGTGTCCTCCGAGACGGTAGCACACACCTCTTGTTGGCTGCCTTGCCATCCCTACCTCCCTGTTGCGTCCCCTCCTGGCACCTCCTGGGATCACACCCCAAATAAACTACATTTGGATCCTTTCTTTGGCATCACCTTCTCAGCAAACCTGAACTAAGGCAGATGCTTTCATCACATACCTCTAGCAAAACACTCCTGCACGTGAGCACGTGTTCATGCCTGAAATGCAATAAAAAGGCACTGATGCATCGACTAGCACACTTCTGGGTGAAGTCCACCCACTCCCTGACTCTCTACCTAGTCTCTCGATGACCCATGATGAAAAGCTTGTCTCTTTCCTTAAAGGAGCAGGGCTTGATGGCCCTTGAACATGGCATCCCTGTCCTGAGCGTGGCTGACCCATCTACACTCCCAAGGCCCCTGTTAATTAGACAAAGGGTGTGCGAGCAAAGAAAACTTTTTAATGAAGGCTTCATTGGCAATGTCAGACGAGCCAGCTATGGTCTAATCCAAACAAGGAACCCTCACCTCACTCTTTTTTATCATTTGTTCTAAAATATCAAAGCACTTCTCCTGCAGGGGCCCCAAAGAAATTGTAGCCCATTGAGCCCGGACATTTTAAGAGCTCTTTTCTCCCGATTTCTTCTTGTTTGCCTTTGTCTTCCCAATCATGGTCTCTACAATGACAGCTGTTTCTTCATATGTCTTAATGCTCTCAGTTGAAAACTTCTCAATGGACTCCATCACTTCCACCTTCTCATAGGCCAAAGTCCTGGGGGGACTTCTCTCCTGTGGGCTGCTGCTCCTAACCCCGTGCCCCTCAGATCCACTTGGACTGACCCCAGATCTTTGAGATTGCGGTGTAGACGGTCCCTCCGGACCAGGGGTGACCACGGGACAGGGCCCCCTGGACTCCTCATCCTCCTTCTGGTCATCCTGTTTCTCCCCGGGCCCTTTTAACCCTTCAGCATTAATCTCATTCTCCTTGTCAGCAGTATGCTGGTTGGATGGGTGTCTACCTTCTTTCCCCTGAAGATCTTCCTGTCCATTCTCCAGTGGCGGCCCGGGCTGCTCAGGAGAGGGCTCGGCAGGGCTGTCACGATGCAGAGAGTCCTCCTCAATGGAAATAATCACTCCCCCTTTGGCTGGGATGGAGGATGAGCAGAACCCAGGATCCACATAACTGGCATCCCCAGAGACCAGCACGTACCGCCCTTTGGTGTAGAGGTCAGCGGGGGGCTCGGGTTCTTTGGGGCTTTTCACTTTCTCCTTGACCTTCTTAAATAGTTTCCCAAAGGCTTTGCTTATCTGCCCTCCATCTGGCACGTCCTCTGGAGCCCCTTCTGGGGTTAGGGGACTTGCTTCATCACCTCGTGAGTCAAGCTTAGATTCACCTTCTTCTTTAGGTACCACCTGCACCAGCTTTGTGTCTTCTGGACCTTGCAGGGGTATGTCTTCCAGATTCTCATCAGCTTTGTCTTTAGCTATAATCTCTTTTTTCCTTGGAATGTTCTTGGGGACACCTTTTTGTCTTGGTTTTGCTGTTGTTATATCCTGCACAGCCCTAGCGAGATCTAAAAAGAAAAAAAGCAGGGGGAGGTGGGGAGGCAGTATAAGTCAAGTTTGTCAATGAAAGAGGAAGAGAATGTATTTGTTGGAAAACAAGCTGTCTTGGAGACCAGTGCCTAGCACTGGGGTAGAGTTTACCATATATAGGGAAAAAGGAAACCGGAAAGATGCCTGGGTCTGACCTGTAGCACCCATGACCCACATTAAGTTCCTACCTCTGCAACCAGCTGTGTGACTTTGCACATGTTGCTTGACGCTTCTGGGCTTACAGAGGGGAGGGAAGGTGCCGCCTGTTCTGACATTCACAGTTCCCATCACACTGGGTACAACTTACTGAGACATTCTAAGCCAATAACACTCGGTGTCCCCACCCCAACCTCTGCTCAGCTCATGATGAGTACTTGGAGCCACAGACTAGTCAATGGAATTCATTCCAGAGTAGTCCTCACCTTGGACTTTTCTAAAGAGAGACAACAGAGCTGCCTGGGTGTTCAATGTGTTCTGAATGGCTTTGGGTGAGGGAATCAAACTGACCTCCCTTACTCCATGTGCATTGCAACCTAAATAAATAAAACACCCCTCAAGCAGCATCCCCTTCCCTGTGGGCAAAAAGAGGAGGCAATTATTAAATTCAGAAATAACAGGAATCTTGAGATGCCTGGGTGGCTCACATCATGAAATCAGGGTCATGGTATGGAGCTGTGCATTAGGCTCAGTGCTCAAGCAGAGTCTGCTTGAAGATTCTCCCTCTGTCCCTACCCTCACCGTCTCTCTCCCTTTCTCTTTCTTTCTCTCTAAAATAAATAAATAAAATCTTTAAAAAGAAAGAAAGAAAGAACAAACAAACAGGAATCCCCTGTTCCCAAAGCCATCGACATTTCTTCAGACTAGCCAAAAGGAAAAACGGAAAGTTCAAGAAAACATACATAATCTCACCTCACCTCGTCCATGAAGCTTTTCAACCTAACCCAAATGTTGATTTTTTTGTTGTTGTTGATTTTTTTTTTTGACTTTTACATCTCAAGGGTCTTTTCCATGCCCTCACTCCATGAACGAGAGGAGTGACAGACAAAACAAAGGCATCTAGCACGGGTTGACTCAGAGAGCTGAGTGAACAGGGAGTGGCAGAAATGAGCCATGAAGCCATAAGGAAGGAAGGGTTGCAGAGAGGGTCATGTCCAAGCCTGCTGGGGGCAGGTATGAGGACAGGGGTTGCTTGAAGGAGCTGCTATGGAATTTCAGGGACCAGTGCAAGAAGAAAAGGCAGGGCCCCTATTCAGAATCATTAAGGATTTCAAGACAGGGACAGCAGAGCACTAAGGCAAGTGTGGGGACCCTTGTGCATACAGGGCCCTGGGTGTGGCTACATGCTTCTAGAGCCAGCTCTGAGACTGCTGCCCTTTCTACCCCGTTCTAACTTGGAAACCCCATATCGACAAACCCCTCTGAGATTTCTGAAGGACATGGATCTGAAGGCACTATAGGTATGAGCAATCAACAATAGCATCTTCTCTTCTCCCAAACACTGCAGTGCATCTCACAGGTATGTGAAACCATCCCCAGAGGCCCAAATGTTGACGGAAGCCATGCTTGCCAACCAAGCTAGTTCTACTCTGTTTTGAATGGAAGAGAAATGAGCAGAGCAGTAAATTAACGTCCACTCTGCCCCTAGACGCTAGATTAAGCACTTTTGTCCAGCAGAGCTCACTTCATTTGCTGAAGTGAATACTGAATTTACTGAATTATATTTTCTCCACAATTAAATGCTTTAAGTCTGAGGATGACATCCCCAAGGTGGGAATGTCCGATTTTTCTCCTTGTAAATTTTCTGGCTTAGTACCTGTGGGGTGGATCAGAGAGGAACAGAGGATCTCACATAAAAGCATTTAATTTCCAGATGGATCAGAAGAAAGTATGAATACTAAGTTCAGGAAGAAAGTCATTTGATTTTTTTTCCTGCTTTTCCATGACGGAAAATAGCAGAAGCCAGGGCATTACCTTTCCCACCAAGCCGAGAGCTGATAGAGGTTCCATGGCTTGGGGTGAACAGAGTAACAGGAGTTTCAATGAAGGCAGAGCTAAGCCTGGAGAAAGAACCAGAAAGAGAATGGTCACCATCTTTAATTCATCAAACCACACAGACAGTCAGGGGTAAGAATGACTCTCTAATGTGAGCAAAAGTGAGGAAAGCTTTCTGTAGATCAGACTATTCATGAATCATGTATATACTTATGCACTAGACGAGGATAGGAAGGATTTCTTTGAGCTCAAGTCATAAACTGTGAAACACATACTAATGCTAAACATTTGAGCACTTGCAGCCAAGACAGAGCATTCAGAGAGAAGGAAAGAACTACTTCTGGTGGGGTAATCCTGAGTGCTTCTCTTTTATTAAACCCCCCAAATCAGTAAGACTAAATAAAAAATCACAACTTAATAGAGAGTGAGAGCCCTTCTATGAGGTTAACTTCTACAAGTCCCCAAACTGTTCTCTGGATGATATCTACAGATATGGACATGAACACAGACACGAATATACACGATGTAGCAGTAGATATATGTAATACAGATGCAGAGAGAGATAGAGATGCACATGTACATGACACAGGCGTGCATGAAGATGATGTCAGTGCAGGTGTAAGTGTGCACATACTTAAAGATGATGTAGATCTAGATGATGTAGGTATAGATGAGGTTTAGGAGTAGTTCTAGGTGATAAAGATGTAGATTATGTAGATGTAGATGGTGTAGATATAGATGATGTAGATGATGATGATATAGATGTAGGTAGAGATGGTGTAGATGTAGGTGTAGACGGTGTAGATGTAGGTGTCGATGGCGTAGACATAGGTACAGATGGTGTAGATGATGTAGATGATGATGATGTAGATGATGATGATGTAGATGTAGGTAGAGATGGTGTAGATGTAGGTGTAGATGGTGTAGACATAGGTATAAATGGTGTAGATGATATAGATGTAGATGATGTAGATGGTGTACATACAGATGATGTATCTGTAGATGATGTAGGTGGAAGTGTGCATGGTGTACATAAGTGATGTAAGTGTAGGGATAGGTGTAGATGTAGAAGTTATAGGTATCGATGTAGTTAATGATGGCATAGATGCAGAAGATACAGAAGTAGATGACATAGATAATGTAGCTTTAAGTGTAGAAGTACATGTTCATACGGATGATGTAGATGCAGATGTAAGTGTAGGTGTCAGTACATACAGATGATGTAGAGTAATGATGAAGACTGTAGGTGTAAATGATGTAGAGACAGAGAGACTGAGATAGGGATAGAGGATAGGGTTAGGGAATAGGGGATAGGGAGAGGGGGATAGGAGATAGGGATATGAGTCAGGAGTCAGAAATAAGGATAGGGGTGGGGGCCAGGGATATGGGATAGGGGATGGGGATAGGGATAGAGATAACTTCCCAGTTCTCCTGAAGTTAACAGAGCTCAAGTCACGGCTTCATTATGAACAAGACCACTCAGTGCATCAAAAACCACACTACTGACCCAACCAGGCAATAAAAACAATGACAGTAGCAGCAATAATAATAACAACACTTCCGAGCACTTGTTGAGTGCCAGGCACTGTGATAGGCACTTCACCTGCAGCATTTCATTAAATACTCCTGGTCATCTTACCTGCTAAGACATTTATATCCCTAGAAGCTTGCAGAGTCAAATGCAACTTTCTCTGTGAGGTCTTCTGTGACCACCCTACTTAAAATTTCAAACACCCCCACCACGGCCCCACTGCCATTCCATCTCTCCCATCACAACTGACTCCATGGTGCTTGTTATCTGTTATAGAGTCATCCATTAGGTGCTTCCCTGACTAGTAGGATTCCAGCTCCACGAGGTCATGGAGTTGTGTTTCCTCCCTGCCTCATCCCCACTGCCTAAAACTGTGCCTGGCACACAGGAAGCACTCAACAAGGATCCGTGGAATAGGCAAGTGGCCAGGTTGGGGAGAAAAGGGCAGTCCCTGGGCTGTGCCCGTGTGTGACCACACCTGTTGCCTTCATTCTCAATGATCCGATGGTACCGCTCCAGCTCATTCTTCAGCGTTTGCTGGGCAACCACCAGCTGCCGGCAGTCATAGGAAGACCTCTCTAGGCTCCTCTCGGCCTCCTCAATCTCCTTCCGCAGGTTTTCAATCTGTTCGTTATAGAGCTGAATCTCGTCATCATAACACTCGTGGGCATCTTTAATACTCTGCTCCAGGGCTGCTGTCTGGAGGCAAAGAAACAGCTGTAAGGAAACCTATCCCTATCCTCTCCCTAAGACACAGGCGTGGCAGGGTACCTAGGCTCAGGTACCCAGTTTTATTTGCCTTGCTTATTTGTTTCTCTGCCAGTTTCCGTGTCAGCAATGAATCACTTGGGAATCCTGCAGCCAGAAAGGAACCTATGCACTAGTACCAGGCCCCTCTGAAATCAGCCCTTAACGGAGCCCTCCCCAAAGACAGTCTGAGGATGGTAAACCCAGAAAACTGCTGTCCATGGACTAAAATGTACAATTTGAATAAAGTATGCTATTCATATTCTGAGTTAGCATAAATCTGACAGCCAAAAAAATAAAAAATAAAAAGAAGCAAGCATAGCAGGGATCAGATATTAGTTTTACTAAAATAATGAAGTGTGTGGGAGGGTGTTCCCTGTTCTTATTTAATCACAATGACACTAAGTTTTCCCTGATTTCTGATTAGTAGAGTTACATATATGTTTTGGTAGCTAAAGTGTGAGTGTGCGCTTGGTATATACACAAAACAACTTCAGGATCACACTCTTTACCCTAATGCAGGGCAAGTCAAAATTAAGGTAGGAAAATAAAAATATGATAGAATATAAAGTGGACTTATATTCACTTTAAGAGCTTCTAATAATGCACAAAGAGCCATCTGTGTACCTATTTACAAGCTTAGTATTTGTGTAGTCATGACTGTTTTGCAATCTCATTTTTCCAAGTAGGAGAGAATTCACCATGCATTATCAGTCCTCAAACATAAATGGAACAAACCAAAAAAAAAACCACTTCTACCTAGAACAGCACATCCCAAAATTCAATGTGAACCACCTAAGGATGTTGTTGAGCTGCAGGTCCTGACTCAGCAGGTCTGGGTGAGGCCAGAGGCTGTATAATTCTAACCATTTCCCACATGATGCTAATGGTGCTAGTCTCTGGACCATATGGGAGTCATGGGGGGGGCTAGACAATATTTGAGCTCAACTTCACATATGTCTGCTTCAAGGCATTTCATGCATGTAGCTGAGTGTGCATACTGGACAATCCAGAGGACGCTTATTCCCAGGACACCTGATTCCTCACTTTATATACAGATGTGGCCTTGGAATAGTGAGGTTTCCTATGTGATGACACTTGAAAACAGCTAACAAAGGTTTTTGGGAAGGCGTTTATTGTATCAGAAAGGAAGGAAGGAGGGTGAGACAGAAGGAAGGAAGAAAGGATGGTGAGGGAGGGGAGGAAGATGGGAAGGACAGCGGGAGAGAAGGGGTACGTATACTCAACACTTTGGGAAGTTGTCTGTCAGCCCACGTCATCCCCCTTGTCTGCTGCCTGTGCCACCTCACTCATAGAGCGGTCCCAGCAGCAGTGTGACCCCACTCTCCCAACCAGAGCTACAGAACCAGGGCTGGGGCAGACACAGATGGGCCTATCACATGCTTCCTCTCCAGGGAATCTGGAAAAGGATCTCAGAAACAGCAGCAAACTGGTGGCAGGTTCACAGAACCCTGGGGCCGCCATCTTGGAGTGGCCATCTTCATAATATGCATGAAGAAATTGAGAAAGGCGATTCTTCAGAGAGGCAGAGAGATGAAGCCAAATGGCAAAGACAAACAGAAATGAGAGTGTTTGTGGGAGAGGAAAGAGACAGAGAGTGAGCAGCTGCCTCAGATCCAAGTTCCTGGTTCCTGCCCCATACCCTGCTCTCAAATTTCATAAACTACCTTTTATATCTTGCTCCTTTTGGGGGGTGGAGGGGATAGTATCTTTCCCAAGTGAAGAAACCCAACTGACACCACCTTAACCAAGTTACATCATCAATGGGAAGAGATGCCCACATGACACTCCCCTGATGAGAAGCCAGAGAAGGACATTCGCTTCTGTGGGTTCCAGCCACCAACGCACGGTCTCATCCTAACCCTGAAAAAACATCTGGGAGCCCAAAAGGAGGGACATTCCACAAAATAACTGGCCATTAAGGTTATGAAAGACAAAGAAAGGCAGGAACTGTCCCAGAGAGGAGTAGACGGAGACACAATGCCTAAATGCAAGGACAATCCAGGACCAGAAAAAAATGTTGATGGGGTAATGTGTGAAATTTTTGTCAAGTCCATTCCAAGAATGGTATCATGGTTAATTTCCAGGTTTCAATCACTACACTGTGGTTATTAACTAAGGGGGTGATAACATTTGGGGAAGCTGGGTGAAAAGTATGGGAGAAAGCCATGTGCTATTTTTGCAGCTTTTGAGCAGTCTAAAATTATTTCAGGGGATCCCTGGGTGGTGCAGCGGTTTGGCGCCTGCCTTTGGCCCAGGGCGCGATCCTGGAGACCAGGGATCGAGTCCCACGTCGGGCTTCCGGTGCATGGAGCCTGCTTCTCCCTCTGCCTGTGTCTCTGCCTCTCTCTCTCTCTGTGACTATCATAAATAAATAAAAATTTTTAAAAATAAATAAATAAATAAATAAATAAATAAATAAAATTATTTCAAAATAAAATTAAAGTTTACCCTTTCTTGCTTATACTTGTTTGATCAAGTTTCTGTTCCTCCTAAAAGAAATGAGTGTTTTAAATTCAGTTCCCTGTAATGTCAAATACCAAAGCATGCCACTAATTCCTGGAGCAGCCACATGCTCCTATCCAAATGCTTCCAAGAAATAAGGAATTTAGAAGACCCTTTGAGACTCGAATCTCAGAGACAAGAAGCCATCCAGGAATGGAAGAATCCAGAAGTCAAACGTTCCTTTCCTACACAGCAGTCCTGAGAACAAGCCTGGGGGACTCTGGCCTCGAAGGCCAGAGATCCGGGTTCAGCTGGGTGGCAGGGAGGGGGTGGCAGGTAAACACACTGCCTTTTATCAAAGCTTACTTTTCTCCCATGGATACAGTAAAGAGCTGGTGCCCACAGCCCCCAGACTGTAAAAGTATGCATATTCCACAAACAAATATCAAGGGGAAAAAAAGAGATGACAGGGAACTGACAGGATAAAAGACATAGAAACCAACTATAATGTGTGGACCTTATTTGGATCCCAATCCAAGCAAACGCTGAAGAATGAATTGTGGGAAAGACTCCCTACTGGCTGATTCCATTTATAGGACAATCTGGCAAAGACAAAACCAGATGGACAGAAAACCATTCAGTGGTTGCCAGGGGTTGTGGGGTGAGGTGGGGAGAGGCTGACCACAGAGGGGCAACTCCAGGGAATTTCAGGGCAAGAGGACTTTCCTGTATCTTGACTGTGGGTGTGGGTACAGCACTGCATGCATCTGCCAAACAGATGTAACTGAAAGGGTGTACTGAAAAGGGTGACATTTGCTGTATGCAGACAGCACCTCAGTTAATTATGAGACAATCAAATCTGATCCCTAACTGGACATTTGGTGAAACTAAAGAATTATTGTTAATTATTAAAAGTGGACTCACATTCTATTAAAAAAAAAAAAAGCCCTCATCTTTTGGAGACACCTGTTCAAACACTGCTGGATCAGATGATTTGGTGCCAGGAACTCCTTCAGAAACACCTGGGGGTGTGTAAGGGTGTAGGTGACATAAGAGGGACTCATGAGACTATTCTTTCACTTTTATGTATGTTTGAAGTGTTCCAAAATAGAGTAAAAACAAGCAAAGATCATGTGTTAAGCAAATCTGTACAGCCTTTGGGTATGGATTCCCCAGCCCAGGGCAGGAAATTGGGTTTGTGAGGACAAGTTCTCACTTGGAGCAAGTCGTCGGCCTCGCCACAACCTCCTGGGGGAGGGGCCATTATTACTCCCAATTTAGAGATGAGGAAACAGACACAGAGGCAAAATGACTTGCCAATAAATACAGGATTCAGAGCCACCTGTGCAGGTCCTGAAACCATGTGTCCTCCCGTCTCAGCCTCCTCTCACCTGCAGGAGAGCAGTATACACACGCACACACGCACACACACACACACACTCCAGGTCCTCGGAAAAACCCCCATTCCCACATATCAGCAGGTAAACAGGACCAGTGTGTTCTCACTGAAGACCTATAGGGGGATTCAGGGTGATCCACACACAGACCTCTCCTTCCCTGAACACAACCACTCGGCAAACTTTTAAACGGTAATTAGGACAGCAAGCATCGGCACAAACTGGGAAATTAGACACGAGAAACTTTCGACCTCACAGGGCAAGTATGATTTTTTTTACAACTCATGAGTCGGCGTTTGCTGGTGGGAGTGATCCGGTGGTTGGTTGGTGGCTGTCCCCCGATGGAAGCCGTGGGAGGAACGCCTGGCCTGGGAGGAGGCTCCAGGGGCAACCGAAAGGTGGCTTCCGATCTCTGACAGGCACCGGTGCCCCTCAGGATTCTGCCTCCGTCAACCAAGAATCCACGGTGTCCAGCAAAGTGCTGACTGGGTTTGTAAAACTGGACTTATGCCTACGTCACTGTGATTTTCACAGCTCAATAATTTAAACCATTCATCAGGAGGAGGGTTGTTCAAAAAAATAAGAGCCCCACTTTCACCAGCTCATTGTGGTTTTGATTTACATTTCCCTGATGATCAGTGATGCTGAGCATCTGTTCATCTGTTGGTCACCTGTAAGTCTTCTTTGGAAAAATGTCTGTTCAGGTTCTCTGTCCATGTTTAGTTGGATTAGTTATTTTTTTGGTGTTGAGTTGTGTCACTTCCTTTATATACTTTGGATATTAACCCATTATCAGATATGTCATTTGCAACTCTCTTCTACCATTCAGTAGGTGGATGGATAAAGATGAGTGGAATATTACTCAGCCATAAAAAAGGAATGAAATCTTGCCATTTTCAGCAACAGGGATGGAGCCAGAGGGTATAATGTTAAGTGAAATAAGCCAGTCAGAGAAAGACAAGTGCCATATGATTTCACTTATATGTGGAATTTAAGAAACAAAACAAATGAACAAAACAAAACAAAACAAAACAAAAAAAAACAGACAAGCACAGAGAACAGACTCTTACCGACAGAGAACAAGCTGGTGGTTCTCAGAGGGGAGGTGGTGGGGGATGGCTAAAACAGATAAAGGGGATTAAGACCACACTTGATGAGCACTGATGCACTGAACCATTGCATCGTTACACTGTACTCATGAAATTAACATACACTGCATATTAATTATGCTTCAATTTTTAAAAAAGAAAACAAGTTTTTAAAAAAGGAAATGGGGGCGGCCCCGGTAGCGCAGCGGTTTGGCGCTGCCTGCGGTCCGGGGTGTGGTCCTGGGGTCCCGGGATCGAGTCCCGCGTCGGGCTCCCTGCATGGAGCCTGCTTCTCCCTCTGCCTGTGTCTCTGCGTCTCTCTCTCTCTTTCTCTCTCTGTGTCTCTAATGAATAAATAAATAAATCTTAAAAAAATTAATAAAAATAAAAAAGGAAATGGAAGAAATCAAGTGTCCTCCGCTGATGACACGCTCTTACCAAAATCGACCACTAGATGGTGCTAGGCAACCTCAGTGAGAAATTCCCGGGGAGGTTCACGCCTTCCGAAACAGGACCTTTTCCCTTTGCTGTCCCAGACGCGCTCAGTCAGCGCAATTTCGGAGGCCAGAAGTGCCTGTCCCTCCACTTCCACCTCTAAGAAGTGCCATCCCGGGGGGCTCATGCAGGGGCTATATTCGGCTTCAAAGCAGGGGCTGCCAGCTCTAAGGAGGAGGCTGTTCCTTCCATCCTGTGGACTCGTGTTCTCAAACTTGAGCCTGCAAAATCACCTGGAGGAGGCCTTGTTAAAACAGATGGCTGGGCCCCACCACAAAGTTCCTGACTCAGGAGGTCTGGCATGGGCCTGTGAATCTGCATTTCTGACAAGCTCCCAGGTGATGCAGATGCTAGTTTAGGGACCTCACCCTGAGGGCCATGCTATGGAGGGTTTTGGAAGCATCAGACGCTCTGACCAGAGACAGAGCCAGATGCTGGGGTGCTGCCAGCTGGGAGCCCTCGGCTACAAGGAATTTGCCCTCTCCCAGCCCCGTCCCTTGTCCCTATTCATTGCATTGGCCCTGCTGAGGGGCTAAGCCACCAAATCTCCCTTGGAGCCCTCAGCCTAGCTATTTCTTGGGAAGCCTCCATAACCTTTCAAAATCAGCAAAAAGCCAGCCATGAGCAACTCCCGAATAGGCTGTGGAAGGCCCAAGCCAGGGACTCCGGTGGACTGATGTAGAACATTCTGACCCAACCTGGAGCCCACCCCTATACTTCTCAACATCTGGTTCCTCGACCAGAAACACCATCACCTGGGAAATTCAGAAATCCAAATTCCTAGGTCACACCCCAGCATGACTGAGTCAGAAACTCTTGGGTGGGCCCAGCCATATCTGTGTTTTAATAAGAGCTGATAAGGCAGGCTCTCGGTCCCCATGACCTTTGCCCCTTAGCTTTCTGCCCATGAATATGTTCTGTTACACGGCAAAAGGGACTTTGCAGATGTGATCAAGGTTCTTAATCAGACGTCCTTAAAAGATAGGGAGATTATTATAGATTATTCCCCATCATATGAGCCCTTAGAAGCAGAAGTCACAGAGATGAGGTGTCCAAAAGAGAGTCCATGCAGTGTTGCTGGATTTGAAGGTAGAAGGGGCCATATGCCTGGGGATGTGGGCAGCGTTGAGAACAACTCCTGGCCGACAGCCAACAAAGACATGGGGTCCTCGATCCTACCTGCACACAGAATTGAATCCTGCCAATGACTTGAATGAGAATGGAAGATTCTCCGCTGAGAGACTCCAGATAAGAAGGCCAGCCAACTTATATCAGCCTTGTGAGACACAGAGCAGATAAACCAACCAAGCCTGCCCAGACTTCTAACCCATGGAAGTGGAGGATAAAGCACTGCTCTTTCAAGCCCTTGCATGTGTAGTAATTCATGAGAGCAGCAAGAGAAAACTAATACAACCTGTGTTTCACTAGACTTACCCCTAGATTTATTTAATAAAAGTACATGTTACTATATAGAAAATGGTAATATTTTGATAACTGTTTCAATGTAATTGGCTTCCTTTTAATGATACATATTTTTATTATATGCCCTTAACATCTTTCTGAGAACTGTTCCCCAGGCTTCACCAGATTGCCGGGCAGGTGGGTGCATCAGAAGTAAAGATCCCTGATTTAGAGAGACAACAACATCAGAGCAAGACCAGTAAATCTTCCTGCAGTGACTATGGGTGGGGACAGGCAGCCAAGCAGACAGGCTTATTTCATATTCTCAGAAACTAGATTAATCCATTAAGAAAGGTCTTACTTTTACATTCAACAAATGCATAGACATAGAGACAGAAGTTTTTTTGTCCTGGAACTTGAATTTACCATGTCAGGCTGGGTTCTTTCATCTTCTCATTATCTAGGGCAGGGTTTTCAACTTTGTCACCACAGCCACAGGAGGAGCCACATTTTACATCACAGACCATATACATCACACAACTATGCGTGTGTGTGTGTGTTTGAATATATATCTAAATATGCAAACATATATATTTAAAACACAGGTTTCACAAAACAAATCCCACCATTAGTAGCCATGCACTCTATTATTCCTTATTCTAGCTTAGTCTGGTGTTGTCTATTTCCTCTTTTTTAATGCCAATCACTTGTGCTGAATTGACTTTACCACTCAGTGATGAATTGTAAACAGTGGTTTGGAAAACACTGGTCTCCAATCTCTCATTCATACACACGTACATAATACACACACACATGCACATACACACAGATACACAAACATATACATATTCAAATACACACATATATATGTACATAACACACACACATACACCCATATACACACAAACACCTATACACACACAGACGTACACACACACACACACCACACACTCACACTCGTTCCATTCTTCCAAGGCCTCAGAGGGACCACAAAAGACCAAGTCATCAAAATGGTGCATCAGGTCCCTGAGCCATGGTTTTCATGAGAAGGGTGAGTTTAAGGACAGTCTCAATTTTTCAAGCTGTGATCTTTACCTTGGGAGATAATCACCAGATCCCAGTTTGTGTTCAGTGGCCCCTGAGAGCAGGTAGTGACAGGTTTGTGCAGTGTGCAGTGGGACAGAAATGAAGATTCTGGAACCTCATGGTTCCCAAATGAGATCCTGGGCAGATCTGGAGAGCACTGAACAGCTACAAAAGCACCAGATCCACTGTGGCTTCAACTTTTGATTTTACAGGCATTGGAGGCATAGGGGCAGAGTAACATGTAAATGTTCCAGGTTTCCTAAATAGTCCAATTTTTCAAACTTTCTGTTCTCTTGTCCTTCATGTGTACTTGTCAAACCAAATGTCAATTTATTTTTAGATTTAGGAAACACAGATGCACAGTACTTTAACCCAATGGGCCCATCAGAATGGTATAGTAACGAGAGACAAAAAAGTAGACACAATCAGGGGGATGAGCCACAAAGTTCATTAACTGAGAATGGAGGCCACAGAAAGAAGAGTGAGTTTTTCTGGTGACTTTAGTTTTCAAATGAAACTTCACCAAAAAAAAGGGGGAGAGGGAGTGGCAGTGGGAGCTTCACGCTAATAAATTCTGAGCAGAGGCAAACATTGACACAACCACCCTTTCCCAAGCCTGTTATCAAATTCCAAAGGAGAGATTTTTAGGTCATGAAAAGAGAAACAGGAAGCATAGATTTGACCAAGTGGAAGATAAAAATTCCAATATGTATGCATCTCTTCTTATTTTTAAGAGCAGGGTTAAACTGGGCATATCGATGGTGCGGAAGTCAGGAGAGCCCTGGAGAGGAGCGGCAGGAGGCGAACCTCTGAGGCTCCTGGAATTAGCAGATCCATTATCCCCACTTACCCAGGACTCTGCTGGTCTGGGCATGAAAGTCCTCCGTCCTGGGAAACCCTCAAAGCAGGACAGCTGGTCACACTACTTAGAAAGGCCAATTTCTGGCTCTGAGCACTGGACACATGGGTGTGTTGAGTGTGTGAGAACACCCCCCCCCCATTGGATACTTGTACACTTTTCTGCATGCACAGGACACCTGAATAAAACGTGCTGTAAAACCCAATTCACATGTGTGGTGTGAAAACCCAGTGGCGAGCAATGGACAGGAGGGTGCAGAGTCGTACCTGGGCCTGCAGCTCCGTTCTCTGTGCCTGCAGGAGGGACACCACCTCCCGGCCCTCCTCCAGCTGACTCTGCAGGGCAGCAGCTTCCCGTTCTGTAAGGAGCTTTTCCTGCATGAAAAGGCCAGATATAGCACTCACATGTGCCTGATTTGTGAGGAAATCCAAAGGCAAAGGGTACAAAGAAGCTTCTTCCTGCTTATGTCCCTTTGCCCAGATTCATAGGCTGAAGTCCTGCCCCTCAATAGGATGGTAGTAGGAGTTGGGGTCTTCAGGAGGGGAGTGGGTCTAGATGAGGTCATGAGGATGGAGCACTCATAGTTGGAGTGGTGTCTTCATGGGAAGAGGAGACACCCAAGTGCTTACTCTCTCTCTCTCTCTCTCTCTCTCTCTCTCTCTCTCTGTCTCCAAGATGCACCAAGGAAAATCCATGTGAGGACACAGCAAGAAGGCAGCTGTCTACAAATCAGGAAGCAGGCCCTCACAAGAACTGAATCTGCCAGCACCCTGATCTTTGACCTCCAGCCTTCCAGAATGGTGAGAAACAAATGTCTGTTGTTTGTGTGGCACCATCTGTGCTGTTAGTTACAGCAGCCCAAGCTGACTAAGATAGGTCCATGGTGGCCACCCTTTATTAGCACATTTTCCCTTTGGCTTCAGAGTCTGAACCATAAATGCTATGAGTGTAAAATCACAGGAGAGCTATATTTTAGACCTGGCTGTGCGTAACCTGGCTAAGAGACTCTGGACAAGGCATGTCTTTTCCTTCTATGAAAAGGAAAGTTGGGAATGCAGACTCTTGCTGGGCTCTGCTGTCTGTCCATGCAGATGGCATGGTCAGTCTGAGCCCTGGCCTTTCAACTGGGCTGAGATGTCACTGTTGCACCAGGCAGGAGCTGTCGGGCTCCAAGGGACTAAAGGGAAGTAGGGGCCCCGTCCTATCAACATTCCACAGGGCAACATGGGAGAAGACCTGCCTCAATCTCTCCACACAACCAAGTGGCCGCCATTCTCCACCCAGCCCCTCCACTGCCTATTCAAAAACATCCAAATCAGGGGCACCTGTGGGGCTCAGTGGTTGAGCATCTGCCTTTGGCTCAGGGTGTGATCCCAGGGTCCTGGGATCGAGTCCCACATCAAACTCCCCACAGGGAACCTGCGTCTCCCTCTGCCTATGTCTCTGCCTCTCTTTCTGTGTCTCTTATGAATAAATAAATAAAATCTTTTTTTAAAAAAAAATCCAAATCACTTGTAAAAATCCTGACTGCTCAAGAGGAGTGCCATCTGACACAAAGCACAGCATGCTGCCCCACCGCCAGGCAAAAATCAAAAACCAAGCATGAGCCCAGTGCTCCCCTGTCCAAAGCCACACCTGTACAGCAGCCACTGCTTTCCATCACTTTGCATAGTGGCTGGAACAACAGCAGAAGCAGAGAAAGCTACAGCAAGACAAACATGCAGAAAGGGAGGAACGTGATCCAGGTCCCCGAGTACTAGCACGTGGAAGGTGTGCATACATGCCACACTTGCAAATTCTAGCTCTGCAGCCTCAGGAGAGAGGCAGACCCGGTGCACATACATTGCCCCACCCCCCTGCCAGGGCCCTGCCTGCTTGCCTGGCCCTGTCTCTCCTCACTGCCCAGCTCCTATTCATCTTACACCCCTCCTCATGCCCGTCCCCCGTGTGCACAGTAGACCCTGGGATTTTCATTGAAGAGGAAGGAAGACAGCCTAGCCACTGTCAGCTGGTAGCAGCACTAATCACCAGGTCGTGATGCTCCCTACTTATAAATAAGCACCCCCACCCCTGCACCTAACATCTGAATATGTCACACTGGGACCATGGGGGAATGAGCCAGAAATAAGACTGCCCTGTGTCTGAGCACCCACAAAAATGACCAAATGGGACATTTGGTCCTCCCCAGCAGCACAAGTGATGCTCCTTAATCACCAAGTACCAATTATGTGGATGCTCAGTCATAGGACCAGCCCTCTCCTGAGGGCACCCAATTAAGAGCAGGTCCCTCCCCTAGATCACCTAACAGGCCTCCATCCTCTCATACATCCCTCCTCCACTGAGGCACCCTGCAAGTCTCCACAGTGTACAAGCTCCCTTGCTGCAGTGAAAAATACACTCAGTTTATGTGACCATAGATGTTCCCCAGTGGCTAGAGGGCACCAGCTTTATGCTTTACTGACTTGTTAAGGGGTGACCTGTGTTCCTAAGCAACAACACTAATTATAACCTCATTGTGCAAAGGCGACTTACACATTTTCCAGGTAACAAGAGTCAATGAAACAAAGCTGAAAGGGACCGTCTAGTTCATATACAGAATTTTTAAGTGACAATAAGTAAAGAATGTGATGTTTCCTGGATCTGTGCCTCTCCTGGGGGGGGGGGGGAGTCCTACTAAAAGACAGGTTCTGTGGATCTGTGCTCAGGCTGGAGATTCTGTATTTCTAACTGGCTCCTAAATGAAGCTAAGATCACTGACGATCTCTGATGCTCTCAGACCAAGTCCAGACAGTCCACATATTCTTACAACTCAGAAGAATTTTGTTATAAAGAAACAGATGATATGATTTTAAAAGTGTGCTTTGGTGTAAAACACCTTTGAATCAAGGGAAAAATTAGTATGCACAATAAAAATAAGATATCTGGAAAGAAATCTCTGACAAAGAAAATTAAGGCGTCAGGAAAAGGTCTTTTAGGTCTTTGCAGATCCTTGGTTATACCAATTATGGAGGGCGGGCACCTGAAATGGTGATTGGCGGGCAATCCGGATGAGAATATCCCCAAGAACAAGCAACCTTCCTACCTCGGGGATGTTACTTGGCAGAGTTTTAAAGTCTTCTAGAGGTGCCTGGGTGGTGCAGTCAGTTAAGCGACCAACTCTTGGTTTCAGATCAGGTCATGATCTCAGGGTAGTGAGATCAAGTCCCACATTGGGCTCCATGCTAGGGGTGGAGCCTGCTTAAGATTCTCTCCCTCTGCTCCACCCCCGACTCCTCCACATGTGTGCTCTCTATATATAAATAAATAAATCTTTTAAAAAAAAATAAAGTGTCTTCTAAAAGCAAATGTTGGGGTTTCTTCAGTTTTGATATAAAAAAGTTAAAAAAAAAAAAAGGACCCAAGCACCCAGCAGCCCTGGCCCACAGGCTCTGCAGCTTGTCTGCATCCTGCTTGGGAGCTTCTAAATGAGGGAATCAGGACTCTACCTGCCAGGCAACTGATTAATTGACTTGGGGTGTGGTCTAGGCAGACGTGCAGACAAATCCAAGTGTCACTGGGGTTAAACACCACTGTCCTAAGTCATCCTTAAAAAATATCCAGAATCTCACCAGTTGACCAGTCCACCCAACCTGTACCAGCCTACCACAACCTCTGCAGAAGGGGCACTGGGACATTTTTGTTTTAATCTGCATTACTGTCAGCTTATTTTTACAAGTCTCATGTTAAGCAACAAAAATCCACTAAACCACATTAGGAAAAAACTATACCAGCAGCTAGAGAGCTCAAAAAAGAAGGAACGTGGAACATTATATCAGAAATAAGGTTTTTACATACAAATTCACATTTTTAAAAATTGGCTTCTGTAATCTCTATTTTTTCCTAGTAGTTTTCGTCCCACAAACTCACACAATCATTAACAGAGACCATCCTTGAAAACACAATCATGAATTCTCAGGGCCCCTCTGTATTCAAAATTTATGGTCAAGTTGATAAGGAGAATAAGAAAACAGACTATGTTTAAAAATGGGCAAGAGATATGATCAGATACTGCAACAAAGAAGCTACACGAATGGCAGATAAGCCCACAAAAAGATGCTCAGCATCCTTAGCCCTTAGGGAATGCAGTTAAAAGCACGGTGAGGTATCCAACATACCTATTAGAAGAGCAAAAAGCAAAAACAAAATAAAAACCTGACATACCCAGTGCTGGCAAGCATGCAAGCACTGAACTCATACATTCATCGCCGATGGGCCACAACAATGCAAACCACTTTGGGAAACAGTCTGGCAGTTTCTTATGAAGTACACAGGGAAGGACAGCCCAGAATTCTCAGGGGCAAATGCCTAAGACGATGGTCAAGGATGCAGTTTCTGTCCTCAGCTGCTTAAATACCAGTGTTCCCAGTCTGAGTAAAAGAACAGAAAGGTAAACTTCCAACGTGAATGCAGAGTGAGCGTGGTGCCAGTGAACCCACTGCAGCTCAGCGCCTGGTCTGACCTGATGCCTGGTGTGGGCCTCTGTTAGCAAGGCCCTTGGCAGAGTAAGAGTCATCCCCAAATATGCTTTCCCTGCAGCCTGGGCTCCGACTCTTACCTCTCTCATCCCACTTGTGATGGCAGATGCTTGAGGGGTGGTCTGGACAATCTGCTGCAGGATGGTGACATACGTCTGAATTTCCAGGAGATTCTGTTGGGGGAAGGAAAACATTCTCATTAAAACTTGAACTGCTTGAGATTTTGCCTCTAGGACCAGATGATACCAGGGATGAATGTTTTCACATGTTCACCATCACAGACAAGACAGGCAGTGACCTGAGCAGTGGACACTTTAACCTTCACGAGAACAAGGGGGCAGATGAAGAAACTGAGGCTTAGTTTATCTTGCCGTTTCCTTTCAGTGACATGGACACTTTGATGCTGGTCTTCCTAAAGCCCACGATGGCAGAACTATGAGAGAAAAGCAGGGACAGGGCACCAAGAGACCCCGCAGTGTACAAAGGACCCTTTCTGTCCCCAGAACAGGGCAGTGCTTCAAAGGACGGCCAGTCAACCCCAGAGTAACTCACTTACTAGCTGGATGTGGCCTCGAATAAGTGATTTAAAGTCCTAAAATGCAGATTTTTTTTCCATAGAAGAGGACTAACAATCTGGAGAGGGTATCTGACCCCCTTTCCCAGCAGAACACCTGCCCAGCTCTGTGTGTGAAAGCCAATGGCAGAGCACAGAGAACGGCCCTCAGCCAGACAACGGCCAATCCCCCCAATGCCACCTCACCCTGACCCAAACCAATGAGCCTTTGGCACAGGAGTACAGAAGGCCAGCCTGTGGCCTCAATTAGGTCCAACCTTATAGAGCATTCCATCCTCCAGCACCCCCCATGGATCAGGGAAAAAGGCCAGACTCCAGCTAAGCCCACACCCTTGCTCAGCTCCCACCCCTGTACCCTGTTTGCCCTCCTTTCCTCCTGAGAGTGCACCACTAATACAGCAGTCACGCAAAAATCACACCTTGGGCTCTGCTCATAGGGAGCCTGCTCTAGGACACTATCTCACGCTGGTGTTGAGACCAATGAGATAATGCACAGAAGCTTTGTTGTGTGAACTCTCACTATTATCGTGGTTCTAAATGGCCTCGAAGAATGCTTTCAGCATAAAGATGGCCCCAGGCACCATTCCTGCAAAATACAGTGTGGGCAAGGCAGCGGATGGGGAGGAGGAAACAGGCCAGGCCCGGAGAAAAGGCAGAGAAATGCTACAGGGAGGGGGGCCCCTTCAGTGTGAGCAACGGGGCCTCCCGTTGTGCATAGGCAGGTCCACACTGAGGCAGGAATAGAGTATAATGCTACTGAGCACACACCAAGCTCCAGGCTGTACCAGGTGTCTCACCTATACTCACATGCTGCCTCAGTTTCCCCAGAAGCAGATGGTTAGAGATGAAATGTTGTGACCCTGTCACACATGGAAGCCCTAGCCCCAGGGGATTGGGGTATGGAGGCGGGGGCCTTTGGGAAGTAAGGAGATTTAGATGCAGTCTGAGGGTGGGGCCCCAGGATGGGATTAGTACCCTCAGAAGAAATGACACCAAAGAGGTGGCATAAGGAATGCCCAGGTGAACACACAGTGAGGCATTCAGGAAGAGGGCCCTCACCGGACCTTGACCATGCCAGCACCCCAATCTCAGTGTTACAGCCTCCAGAACCATAGGAAACAAATGTCCGTTGCATATAAGCCACCCAGTTGGTGGTACTTTGTTACAGCAGCCTAAGCGAGCTAAGATACAGGCCCTAAGAGAAGGGTCTGAGTGCAAATAGTTTATTTGGGTGACGATGCCAGTAAACATTATTGGAGGAAGTGAGACAGGAAAGGAAGGGCCAATAAGGAGTGTGTTACAGGTAAGTTACCACTGTGACCATCTGGTGCTCAGGCCCTGTGGGGATCCCCGGGAGCCACACAGGACAGCAGGAGAGAGGGAGCTGGGGCATGAATCCACCAACATGCATCAATCACTGGCTGAGGCTGCTCCCCAACACAGCTGCACCTGTGAGGTACAGCTGCAGATACTGGCAGCTGGAGGGAGCCCACAGGCCACCAGAGAGGTCAGCCCCGAGGACCACGGCCAGGCTCACAGGTCCACTACAGTTACCCCTGTGCAGGAGAGTCTGCCATTTGCATTTTGAAGATGCAGCTCAGAGTGGGAAGGCTACCTGCCCAGGCTACAACAGCTCCAGGATTTGATTTTTCCAGTACACCACGGCCCCCCAGAGTCAGGCTTGTGAGAAGCTACTGGGGGTGGGAGGCAGAGCAGAGCACTACATGACAGGAAGTTCCTGAGTGCCAGCTAACTGGTTAGAGGCAGAGCTAATATATATATAGAGAGAGAGCTAATATATATAATATATATATATTGCATTTTCTGCGTTTCTGCATTTTTCTGAGCCAAAACAACTGACAGGTCCTAGCTTACTCAAGATGATCTATGTAAAATTGTTTTGTGGATTGTAACGTACTCAACAGACATTAGTTCCCAAGCCCTGCCCCCAACACACACGCAATTAATTACCTCCTCTTCTGTACACATCTGACTCACTGAGTGCCCTCTAGCAACCAACCCCTCACCCACTTGGTTCAAGGGCAATACACACAGAAGGAACCCAGTAGAGCAGGCTCCTGTGTCAGCCACAAGTACCCTGGCCTTGCCTGGCCAAACCCAAACTAGATTATCTGGGGGAAGGACTTCAGAAGGCTCCTGGTTACCTTTTTGTACCTGTCCTTTGCTGCACTGATATCATCCTGTAGAAACTGGGCTTCGATCTGAAGGCGCAGGTTATGCAGTAAGGCTTCATCAGCTTCCTGCAACAAGAAAATGAGTCACACAACCAAGTCAAAGGGGCCACACAGTGGAGGTATGGGCACAAGGGTGTGAAACCAGTCAGGAGTATGGGCACATGGACCTGTTGGGGGTCTTACTAAAAGGTAGATTCTTGTTCAGTAGGTCCGGGAGAGTGTCTGAGATTCCACATCTCTAGTAAGGCACTGGACCTGGTCTAGAACAGTTCTCAACAGAGACTGATTTTGCCCCCAAGGGGACATTTGGTAATATCTGGAGACATTTCAAATTGTTACCACTTGGGTGGTGGGGTGTGACGGCTGGCATCTAGTGAGCAGAGGCCATGGATGCTGCTAAATATCCTACAATACACAGGACAGCCCCACACAACAAAGAATGCTCCAGTCCAAAATGTCAGTCATGCCAGGGTTGCAAAACCTTGATCTAGAAATATCAGGGAGAAAATCAGGATATAGTTACATACCAACAGCCTTAAAATTTAAGTAATATCTATATCTGTTCTGTATCTCATCATCAGGAAGTTGAGTTTCTAAGATCAGGAAAGAGTCTTCTGTAAATACTGAAACTTTCATTTTAATAGTTTTCTCCCAAGGACTGCTGACACTTATCCTGATGCAAAATGCATTTTTTTTAAATGACTGCTGTGGTGAACAGTGTTTATTCCTTTAAAGTTGGAAATGACACTTAGGACACAAGGCTGAGTGTTCTCGTCCATTCTGATAGTTCCCTGACTTTCATCTCATGGCTCTTGTTTAGGTGAACCAAACATTCTGATAGTTCCCTGACTTTCATCTCATGGCTCTTGTTTAGGTGAACCAAAAAGGCTAAAATCCTATGCTCTTAATAAAATAGTGCAGTGATGGCTGGAACCGCCTGAATACTACAGCGGTCCAGTGTGACATTACCAGCGAGCATTATTTGGGTTCCTTGGGATTGTCACTCTCTCGAGATACCTCTGTCACGCACCACTGCCAGTACTTGAGCCCTTGCCAAGTGAATTTTTTACTGACTTGTTAATAAGCATGATGAATGGGAGCCATGGGCTTTCATCAATGGTTGGCTAACGTATTTAAGACATTCTCCATCCTTGAGAATGAGGATGGAGAGTTAAAACAGTCAGGCATGAGGACTGGCCAAGGTATTTTGAGACATCCCCGCTTACACTACTAGGATTTAGATTCCAGGGAGGCCTTCTGCCTGCATTCCTCAGAAAGGCACTTGATTCCTTAATCATTCCTATAAAAGATGACTGATGTGGGAAGATTTTGATTGTCAGACGCTGATTATAAGGATATCAGAATTCCAACTCCAATGGACCACCTGCCTTGGATGAGCTTTTCATGCAAAGTGCTGCCTCAGCACCTACCACATCAGAGAGCTGGGACTTTATGAGACTAAAAAACAGGCTGTATGAACTTTGGGGGCCTGCATCAGAAGAAATGCTTAATTAAGAAATACGTGCCTGTCTGAACTTAGTCTGGACCTTGAGCAAAACTGTAGAGGGACAGCTAATCCCCACCCAACTCAAACTTGAGGCTATTTTATCTACCAAAAAGAACTTTGGGGATCCCTGGGTGGCGCAGCGGTTTGGCGCCTGCCTTTGGCCCAGGGCGCGATCCTGGAGACTCCGGATCAAATCCCACATCGGGCTCCCGGTGCATGGAGCCTGCTTTTCCCTCTGCCTGTGTCTCTGCCTCTCTCTCTCTGTGACTATCATAAATAAATAAAAATTTTAAAAAAAAAAAGAACTTTGAATTTATCTTTTAAGATTTTATTTATTTATTTGAGAGAGAGAGATAGAGAGAGAGAATGCAAGGAGGAGGAGCAGAGGGAGAGGGACAAGCAGACTCTGGGCTGAGCATGGAGCCTGATTCAGGGCTCAATCCCACCACCCTGAGATCATGACTTGAGCCAAAATCCAGAGTTGGCCACTATCTGACTGAGTCACCCAGGTGCCCCGAAGTTTATTTTAAAAGAACTTTGAAGTTCTACAAAATCAACTAGGTCAATTGGCAACTGCCAGGAATTATCTTAAAGCATCCCTTTTTGCATAGGCTTATGCAAATAAAAATGAAGTAAGCTATCTTAATACAGCACTATCCAAGTCTCAGGCATATTTTTAAATTTTCTGGTAGCTCATTAAATAAAATGAAAAGAAACAGGTGAAAATAATTTTAAAAATATATTTTACTGCACCCAATATACCTAAAATATTATCCTTTCACCATGGAATCAATATTTTTAAAGTTATTAATGAGATATTTTACTTTCTTTTTTTTTCAGGCAAGGTCTTTGAAACCTGGTGTGCATTTTACACTTAAAACACATCATGATGGGATCCCTGGGTGGCGCAGCGGTTTGGCGCCTGCCTTTGGCCCAGGGCGCGATCCTGGAGACCTGGGATCAAATCCCACGTCGGGCTCCCGGTGCATGGAGCCTGCTTCTCCCTCTGCCTGTGTCTCTGCCTCTCTCTCTCTCTCTCTCTGTGACTATCATAAATAAATAAAAATTTTAAAAAAATAGAAAAAAAAAACACATCATGATTTGAACTTCCTGTGCTTCCATCGCTCCCCAGAGCATATAGCTGATGGCTCCCAAGTGGGACAATGCAATTCTACAGGATTAATTTGGAGCACAAAGGAGCATACCGCTCTTCCTCAGTGTCTCCTCCAGGTTTCTGTCCCACGGGGAACATCCCCAGTTTCTCTCATTTCTGGTTACGAAATCCTTCCCTCTAAAGATTCTGAATCCCTTTACAGGTACCAGGGAGGCTAACACTAAGCAACCAAGTAGGGAACCCTTAGACAGAAGGAGAGAAGTACCCCAACCTGGAGCTGGTTCCCTGCCCACTGCCTCTGGACTCTTCTCTGCTTTCCCCAACCTGAAACTGGGCCTCTGCTACCCACTGGGAGATGCAAGAGCATAGTGGAAAATTGCACCCTTTGAAAGACCCACATAGGGTCTGAAGTCTTTTTTTTAATTCGAAGTAAGAGAACGAACCAAATTACAAAACAGGGATGCATGGCTCCAGGAACTGGGCTCTGAAGTGTCAGAACTAAATTAATGTGAAAACTAACTATAGGCGTTCAGTTTCTGGGCTCATTCTCTTGATTAATGAATGACTCAGTCACTGACTTTCGATGAGCTCTGCCCTCAGGATTTAATGATGGGTCCTCAAATCCTGGGTCACAGGGATAGTAATGCAGAGTCCAGTGAATCCTCATTAGCATTGTTCCCTCTTTCAGAAGATGCAGGCTGCCCACCCCTGGAAGCTCCATGGATGCACCTGTATGATCAAGGTGTTAATTACCCCATGAATGAAGTGAGCATGTCCCCCAGAATTCCTGGTGACTGGCTCTCTGCATTACCCAGAACTGTCACATCAGCCTGGTGAAGCCCCTTCATGAGAGAAATGGTAATGCAAAGAAAGCCCAGGTGTCGGGCACCTTGGTGGCTCAGTGGTTGAGCATCTGGCCTCAGCTCAGGTCGTGATCCCGGAGTCCTGGGATCAAGTCCCACATTAGGCTCCCCATGGGGAGCCTGCTTCTGTCTCTGCCTCTCTCTCTGCGTCTCTCATGAATAAATACATAAAATCTTAAAAAAAAAAAAAAAAAAAGAAAGCAAGGAAGCCCGGGTGTCTTTCCAGCAAGGGGAAAGAGCTGAAGAAGCAGAAAGAGCTGGGATAATTTATAGATTCCAAAGGAAAGGCCGCCATATCTCAAAAAGAACTGAAAACAGGGCAGGCCCAGGACTTGAGCGGCAGTAGGTAATGGCTGCAAATGAATTGGTTACTGGGTCTCCTGAGTCACATTTCTGGGAGAGACTTCTGGCTGTGATGGCCAACATGGGTCACATGACCATCCTCTTGACTGATGGTCCTACCAGGACCCCAGTGATGGGAGGGACAATCAAAGTGTGCAGGGATGCAGCTCCACTCCCTTCAGGGACACCGGATTGTTGTGGAGGTGATCCTCTACCCTGGAGACAGGGATACCCCTTGGAGGCCATGGCTCAATATGGGGCATAATTGGTTGAAGACCTTGAGCTGGTCCTTCTAGATATCCTTCTACCCCCTCACCCCCCACCCTTATCCCCACCCTCCCACCACACCCCTCTTAAGACTGCTGAGGATGAAGCAAGGCAGAGAATTCTCAAACATCTTCATTTTAACCAAAAATTTGTCCATGACTGACCCACAATCCCCAGAGCCGAGGAATTGGAAATAGTTTCAAGGACCCTTTGTGTCATTACTTCTAAAGAGATCAAACACTCACAGTGTTAGAAACAGAAGGAACCCTAGAGGTCACTGGTCCTCAAATGTTTTTTGAATCACATGTGTCATCTTTCAAACAAAATATCCCAGGATGCCAATGTATAGAGGCAAAGCAGAGGCATGCTTCTGGAAGGACATGATCACAGTACAGTAGGGGGGCAGGCTCCCCCACCCCCAGCAGCCCTCTATCCTCAGAGGTCCCTCTGCAGCTCCAAGGACCTGCAGGCTCTGTCAAACATAGCTCAGAATCTAGCGTCTCTGCTTACAGATGGACAGGCTGGGGCCAGACTGACCAGTGGGTCATGCAGCTAGTTAATGGAAAATAATGGGAAACAACAGGATTGGAATCTATCTTGGGCTTCTCTCTACTAGTCAAGATTGAGTGCTGAACTTCCTTTCTTCTTCAATCTTCCTGTGAGGATCACACCCAAACAACCACTCTTGGATCCCATCAGCCAAGCCTTTAAAACTACCCAGGGTGATCATAAAGTCCAGCTGATATTCATCCTTAAAATAGGGATTACCCAGATGCTTCTGCAGCACATTCTCTTGCTTTGAGGACAATCATCTGATAAACTGCCTCCAACACTCGCAAAGGTGAGTAGGTGCCACTGGAATGTGCAGTTGCTGGTGTGTTGAGGAGAATTCATTTGGAAGTACTCTCTTTTGTTTGCACCAGAACTCAGAAATGTGTGGACGCTTGTGTTTTCATTATGCTTTGGATGCTGT